TTGTGGACAAGAGTAACTGAAGGTTACCAACTTTATTTGGCAATGACCTGCAGTTTGTGCTAAGCATTTCTGGAATAGTCATTCGATCTGTGGTCATAAGCTTGAGAGCCTGTCGCTATCCATTGTGTTGCTTCTTCTTAATTTACCTACCAACTTTTAAGGCGATATGTTGTAATGAGTTGAAAAAAGTGCAAGAGTATACAATACAATTGGTTGATATAATTGAGCGATTAAAACAATATAGAAGGAAGAAATTTGATACAATATATTCAGTGATAAAATAAGGTAGCCCAGAGTTCAAGCAGGCAGCTGTTTGTTTTTATGATTAGTCTTCGAACTCATTTAAGACTCTATCTTATGAAATGAGCTACTAAGTAATATTTTTCCAAGTTGGTAATTATCATGAAGTGATATCATTTGAAAAACACATTTGTTTCCTCCTAGTATGGGAATCATTAATGATTCTCCAACTGATATCAGCGTGTGATGAATACCAACTTCTAATGAATAAATCTCTATAAATCTGTAGATTAAAATAATGTTCTGTAGTGTTTATGTGACTTTTAATGTATTCAAAAGTACTGTCAGATATTCATGTTGGTGAATAGCACTGAAATCTAGCAAATGTGTTTCGTCCGTTTTGGAACTCATCAGGTGGATGTACCTACACCTCAGTGAGTGATATTGTTCCAAACGTAGGTCAAACCCAGTACCTATATTTCCAAAAGCTAAAGTTATTGGAGCACGATGGCAAGATCACTGTCTAAAGGGCAGGCACATCCAGACTACGAGTCCTAGGTAAGACGAAACTTGGGTCCTGGATTCCACCACCAGTCACCAATATGAGTACAATATTTTCATATTCATTGAAAACTTTTATCTTAAAACAAACTCTGACTCAATATTATAACACTTTACATGTGTTTCGATCGAACAAAAATTTAGTCACAGTGATATGAATAAATCTGGTTTACTTACGTAATCATCAACTTACAAATTGTATTGTTTGATTACAAGTTGATTAGATCAGTATTCGATGTTTAATTTATACTCACAAAGTGTTAATCGACAAAATCGGATGTGATACAGGGAGCGTCCATCTTATGATTACAATCTCGTTACAACAATCTGTTAATTGCGTCTAAAAATAACAAAAGCTTAACAGAATCGGATAAAGATAATGGGAAGGCATCGGTGTATATCAGCTTTGAGTTTACTTAGGTCAAGTGATGGACAGACTGATATATTATTATTAGTCGCTTGGGTTCCTAGTGGAACATAGGGCCACAAGTTCTCATTTCCTCCTCGCACGACCTCCTCCATGTCACCTTCGGACGTCCAACTCTTCGCTTCCCATAGGGATTCCACTCCAGCAACTGGCCTGACGCGTGATTTCCCAGTCGGCCTTCTCAGTGCATGCCTAATCCATCTCCACTTCCTCCTGCATATTTGTTGTTTGATAGGTTCTTGGAATAATTTTGTTTTTATTTTTTATATTTCGTTTGTACTTTGAAGTTTCTTTAGCGGTTAGATTTGTTTTACGGGGTAGGGTTGCTAGACCTATGCCCAACCTTCCCTCTTTATCTGGGCTTAGGACCGGCTAGTAACTAGTGAACTAGTTAACCAGGCGAGGTTGGACAGACTGATAACTGATGGATAATGGCTAGCAATGGGAACTAGGATGTGTATTTCATCCTATTTGGAACTTACTGGTCAGCTGGATGTACCTGCCTCCCAGTGAGTTATGTTGTTCCCACTATCCATCATTACTATAATTAGAACACAAATAATGTCAAGGCAGCCACCACCTTAAATACATTTATAACTTGATCATTATAAAGTGAACCAAACTAGTAGTGAATTGCTTTTATTTAAATTTTTTATTTGTATTCCAAGTTCAATTATCGACAGAATTGTTACAGAGTTCTAATCTCAGATTTTTAAGCATCATTTAGCCATCTCCGATCCAGTAAATGAGGACAATAATTACTGATAGAAATGTAGGCTGATCGAAAACATCAATTATTATTTCATATCTTTAATTAACTTATTCAGAATTAGGGGTAGAATAAGCATCTATCAAGAATAAAGTCTCATGAGCATTTTTTTTGATTGGTTGATCAATTGGTATGGTAACAGTGATGGATAATTCCGTCATCGAGATATAATTATGATTTAACTATCTAAGATAGCCATAGTTTGGTAGACTAGTATTTGTACTGGGTGATGATTGAAGGTGAGATGAAAATCTGAACCGCGGCCGGATTCGAACCAGCCACTACCGGGTTACCGACTTGGTGGTCTACCAACTGAGTAGTCGAACCTCGTAGCTTATTCATCTCTCCTTCAGTCATCATCCAGTATGAAATACTAGTCTTCCAAACTTCGGCTATCTCAGATAATCAAATGACAATATGTATATCACATGATAAACAGGACTGTTGTTGCAAACTGACTTTTTCAGTTATTGGTTATTCGAGAAACATTTTCGATGTTAACCTCATGATGAATGTCAAACTTTTGAAATGCTGACACTAGTTGGTCATCTTTGTACCCCTACGTCCTGTAAAGCGAGTTAAGCATCGCTTTCCAATCCCCTTGATATCCCTAATTTGTCATGTCCATATTCATTCTTGAACATATTATATGATATTTTAAAAATGATGACAATTCTAAAATGCTATTGGTCAAAATGGTCTAGTTAGACTTTCTTGATCACTCTGTAAAGATTATTATTATTATATTATTATTTTTCCCTTGGGTTCCTAGTAAAACATAGGACTTCAGTAATACATCTCTATTCCACTCTGTTCTCTGCAGTCTTTTGAACCTCGCTCTACGACTGCCCACAAGCTCTCATTTCTTCCTCACGTGATCTCCATGTCACCCCCACCTCGGACGCACAACTCATTGTTTCCCCTTCGGATTCCACTCGACGATCTGGCCTGGCCTGATGAATGATGTCCCCGGTCGACCTTCTCAGTGTATGCCCAATCCATCTACATCTCCTTCTGCATATTTGTTGAGCGATAGATTCTTGGTTGGTTCTTTCCCAGAGTTCCTTGTTGCTTATTCTCTCTGGCCATTTGAACTTCAGTAACGAGCGTAGGCAGTTGTTTATGAATGTCTGCAGTTTGTTGGAAATGCCTTTCGTAACACACCAAGTCTCTGAACCATCACACAGAAGCACTGACTTGACGTTGGTGTTGAAAATCCGGATCTTGTTCACGCTTTCTGCTGAGTGCAGAAGATCTACACACGGGTTTCAGATTAATGAAGGAAGGCCTGTCTTGCTGTGTTTCCGATCGTGGCTGGCTTTGTCGTCCTCGCCTGTGCCACTGCCGCCTGTAGTTGAAACGGTTATGCCTAGATAGGTGAAAGAGGCTACTTCCTTCAGATTTCTCCCGTTAATGGTGACTGGTACCTCTTATTGTTGATACTGTTGTTGGTTGAGTAACTTCATCACATTCGTCTTCTCTACATTCATTTGAAGTCCCGCTTTCGCTACACTGCCTCTTCTTTAAAGTTGTTAGTTTTTACCTGTAGATCATCGAGTTCGTGCGACATTAAACATAAATCATCGGCAAAATCTAGATCTTCTTCTGGGGCCTTTTCATCGGCCCAGTGTATGCCCATCTTCTCGCTCCTCACGGTTTGCTGCATGATCCAGTCGACGACAATCGAGAAGATCATGAGTGATAGTAGGCAGCCTTATCTTACTCCTGTCTTCACTTCAAAGGTGTCACTGAGCTTTCCATAGTGAATCACTTGGCACAATCAGAAACAGCTAGGAGAAAGCATAAATAGATAGGTTGTGAAATGAATGTTGTATTGAAAAGAAATGATTGAAATGCCTCAAACAGATTGGAGAAGTTACTGAAGTGTCCATACGGTCACTGGAAGGCAACTGCTGGTTACTTTAGTTGATAGGTAGTAAAATCTTTAATGCTATCACTTGTATATTATCACGTCGTTGATTTGACGCAATTGAACAATTTTTATTGTCATATAGGCTACTGCGCGGATGTGCCGATATTGTCTGTGTCACAGTTAAATATTAATGATGGATAGTGGCTAGCAGTGGAATCCGGGACACCCATTTCGTTCTAATTAGGACTCGTCAGCTGGATGTTCTCACGTCTCAATAAGCAATTTCGTTCCTATTAAGGCGCAAACCCAACAACGATAGATCGACTTGGTCCAGTCAACGACGCGATAATACAGGTTCAAATATTAAGACTATACCCTCCGCACAAAAACTGGCTACGGTTACTTGGTGTCCTAGTGTATAGCTCTCTGGAGTTTGAAGTGATCGGTCCTGGGTTCGACTCTTAGTGGGGACAACGTCACTCATTGGGAGGTAGGTATATTCAGCTGAGGAGTCCCGAATAGGGCGAAATGCACGTCAACCTGAATTCTACTGCTGCCCACTATCCATCAATTATCATTAATTTGAACTGTGTCTCGTGGTTCACCGAGATCATAAGTTTATAAATCAAGTTCAGACTTATTAATGTAACGCGTAATCTCTTAAGCACATTCAGCTGACAAGTTTTAAATAGGATAAAGCAAGTATTCTGGATTCGTCTGCTAGCCACAACCAACTAAATTACCATAATTAACATTCAGGCTATATAGAGGCATTTGCATCGGAGTCCATATGCTAATAGAGGTCGAACAATTCGGTCCAATAAAAACAACGAAGAATAAAATGCATATCAGTAAATAGTGATAATATTCAGTTGGCTCATGAAATTCTTAAAAGGTCATTAACAGAGTTGTGCAAACTGGCATTGGTTAAAATTCGATCACAACTAAGATTTCTACCTGATTGTAATCATCGTTTCTCTATGAAGTGACCAAGAAAGGCTAACTAGACTACTTGACCCTTAGCATTTTGGAATTTACATTGGCTTTAGAATATAAAATTGTCAGATTAACACTGAAATAAAACAACTCAATATACTAACCCCTAACTTTACACACATTTTATATTTTAGATTAAATTCCGAAGATCTCCACTCTTATGCATTATACTTTTAATACTTTTCATGGCAATGTGTTATCATTTCCTTACTCGACGAAATGTTAAACATGAATTCAAAAGTAATATTCATTCAGATCAACTAAAACCAATCATATTCGTTGGTGGTTATCCAAGAAGCGGTAAGCTTATTTCTTCTATCCTCTGTATGATTAATAAGTGTAGCTCTAAGAAATATGTGAAACTTAACGTTAGTAAACAATATTCAATGTGAAATTCTTTTTGGTGGGATGAACTAATTATCGGATTCACTTAGAGGCAGTATTCCTCAAGGATTGACATCAGTTGAGGAGGCATTGAAAACCTAAGAGCATTGGATAGCTCCGTAACTGGGTCGTGGGTGCGTACTGCTAACGAATGACTTACTGGGAGGAAAAAACAGCTGGTCAGTGCTCCCAGGTTTTCAATGGCTTCCCAATTCATGTCAGTCCATGATGAAATACTACCTATAAATTAAAATCCCTATCCATCTGAAGGGATCCATTTGTTTACAACTTGTTTTGTAAGCTAGGATAAAAAGATTATGATAAGAACTGTGATGAATATAGACTGTCAGTTAGTAAAAATGTAATAACATCGATGAACGATTGACGACTTCCTCCGGTTTCTACTCAATAAACACTCCAAAGAGAGAGAGAGAGAGAGAGAGAGAGAGAGACAAAATACCAGGTAAAACATTCCTAACTAGATTGAAAAAGAGAAGGTATGCATAGAAGATGTATAAAAGCATTTTAGAATCAGTAAATATCACTTACAATTCGATCCAACAAACCAACAAAGAATAGCAAGCTTATGAATAAATGGTAATCAATAATACCTATTGCACAATAAGTAGCTACTGTGACTCCGTGATATAGTGGATAACACCTACGAGTTTGAAGCGACAACTACAAATTTCGAGTCTCAGTGAGAATAAAATCACAACGCACTGGAGTACAGGTACACTCAACTGACCAGTGAATCCCGAACAAACCGAAACGCATATCCTGGAATCTTCTGCTAGCCACAACCAAGCAAAATACCATAATAAACATTCAGACAATATAGAGGCATCCACATACAAGCCCATATACCAATAGAAGTTGAACAGTTCCATTCATTGAAACAACCGAGAATTACAAGTATATCAATAAATAGTTAGAACATATGTTTGTCTGAACCTCTAGCCCCATATGTCACCATTTTGTCATGACTTGTCCACTTGTCCACCTCACACATCCACCTTACCACGTTATCCATCCACTGGTTACAGTTTACACAAACACTCACACACACACACACACTGATGTGTGTATGCAGAAGGGGAGGTAGAGGTTATCAGTGAATCGATTGGATTCTGAAGTTCGAATCATGTGTTCATTGTATGTGAATGCAGGCAATGGGAAACGAGACATGCTGATCAACTGGTTATATTGAGAAATGAGATATCAGGTGAATGTGAGACAATTGTGAATAGAATTGATTTGTTGAATGTAATGGATGAGAGACTGTTTATGGAGTTGATGTATATAGTTGTGTGAGATTTTGAATGATTTTGTGGTGCAGCACAAAAACGTCGTCTACATTTTGAACTACATATGTGGTTAGAAATGAAGGTAAGTTTCAAAGCATGATGCTTATTGATAAGTCATGGAAATGAGTGGAGTGTGTTATGATGTGTTGTAGTCAAGCGTTGTCGAGCGTTTTATGTAAGTTGGTTATGACTGTATGAAGATGAGTGACGAGTAAAAGTTACTGAATATTTTGATGATTGGCATATTTTGAACTTTGTAAACTTCTGTGAAAGTTGATTAACTCACCTGATGAATTTCATGCATTCTTTATTGTGATTTAGGAATTCATATAAGTAGTGTTGAGTGTTCTTGAGAATGATAAGACTCTGAGAAGTTGATAATCTATTCACCTGACAATGGAAGTAAATATATAAATATTCGACTAACTTAGTGATCAACTTGAGGAAAATTGAGCCTTGTATACTTTATTTAGTCATGCGATTAATGGTGTTATCGGTGTAAACCTGTGTACTTGTATGATAAGTATAAATTTTATGAATCGTACTAAAAGTTGTTCGTTTTAATCTTAATTGGGACTTACTGGTCAGCTGGATGTACCTACACCCCAGTGCGGAGTGATGTTGTTTCCACCAAGAATCTAGTTTCGTTCCTATTTTTTCAAACACCAAGGCATTATCCACTATCCCATGGAGTCACGGTAACCATTCTTGTACAGCAGGTACTAGTTATTACTATTTATGCATATACTTGTAATTCTCCGTTATCTTATTGTATCGAATTGTTCGACCTCTATTGGCACATGGTCTCCTAAATGGATGCGTAGATATTACCTGAGTGTTAACTATGATAATTTACTTGTTTGTAGCTAGCAACTTATCATAATTATCATTCAGTCAATATAGTAGGGGCATCCCCACATAGGAGCCTATATGCCAATAGTAGTCGAATAATTCGATTAGGTAAAACAACGGAGAATTACAAGCATATACATTAATAGTAATAAATGAATAGTTTTAATGTCAAGATTTATGAATAAATAAATTTGTTAGATGATCATGACTTATTTTACATAGAATAGGTTTTACACAAACACTGGATATGAATCTGTTCTCATAATCAAGGGATTATTCAACGAAGAGGGATCGCTGAAGTCTATCACTATTTAATGCTAACTAAATTACTGGGTGTTCAAGTTTTCGTATCTCTGAGAGAAAGAAATTATTTACTAAGGAGAAGAATAATTGCCTTTCTGAATTTAAACAGATTTAAATTATAATCTGTTTAAACCATTACATAGTAAAAATAAACTTATGTATATGCTTGTAGTTCTTTGTTATTTTACTGGATCGATTTGTTCGACCTCTGTTGGCATATAGGCTGGTATGCGAATGCCTCAATATTATCGGAATATTTATTAAAGTAAGTTACTTCATTATGGGTAGCAGGAGAATCTGGGATACGCGTTTTGTCTTTTTTGGGACCCACTGGTCAGCTGGATGTACCTGAACTCCAGTGCGGAGTAATGTTGTTCTCACTAAGACTCGAACTTCGTATTCATTCTGCCAGACGCCAAGGCGTTATCCACTATGGCAAGGAGTCACGATAGTTACTTCTTGTACAAGAAGTATTAGTTATTACTATTTTATTTAATATACCTATAATTCTCGTTTGTTTTATTGGGTCGGATTGTTCAACCTCTATTGGCATATGGGCTCGTACGTGGATGCCAATTATGGTAATTTATTTGGCAATAGAGGTCGAACAATCTGATCCAGTATAACTACGGAGACTTACAAGCACATGCATAAGTAGTAACAACTAATATGCGTTGAATATAAGGTGATTATCGTGCCTTCATGGCCTAATGAATTACGCCTTGTCGTTTAATGTATTCAGATGATGATTATATTTTAACATATATCAATGCATGAATTATCTACATTTAGGCACAACGCTTATGCGTGTCTTACTTGATGTTCATCCAATGATTCGATGTGGACCTGAGACAAGAGTTATACCGAAACTACTTACTTTACGAGAGACTTGGAGTAAAGGAATTGAAAATGAAAGACTTCAAGCCGCTCATCTATATCCTGAACCTATTGACTCTGCTACACGATCATTTATATGGTCTATAATCAAAAATGCGGGTGAAGATGCTCCTGTTCTATGCAATAAAGATCCATTAACATTCATTCATCTTGCTTATTTAGCTAATTTATTCCCTGAGGCAAAATTTGTTCATATGGTACGTGATGGACGTGCTGTGATTAACTCACTAATGAAGTAAGATTTCATTGTTATCATTATTACTGTTTTTGAAAAGTAAAGTTAATTACACATTACATATATATATGATCATGTCTCAATTCATTGCAAATTCAGCTACAGCTTGATTGTGTTCATTTATGGAGTACTTCCAGTTTAACAAAAGTAATTGTGTCTAGTTACCTACAAATCATATCCACATTTAACATGTAACACTTAATCACTGGAAATTTATTGACATGACAGATATTTTCATTTATAACCATAACTAAAAGCTTTCATATTTCAACGATCATCTATTAAAATCGGATAGGTTAAATTCCATGTGTTACTTTCAAAAGCAAATCATGTACGTTCATTTTTCATCTTCTGAGTCATTGTTTGGAAATTCTAAAGCTGTAGCTATGAACCATGGAACAAGACATTTAAGACACAATGGATTGGTCATAACCTTTCACCAACCTTTAACTACTGAAGTATGATAGACTAAGTGGCAAAAAATGTTCTAGCATGGAAGGTGTTATTCTTAGTCGCCTGAATGATAACGTATGCAATTTTTCACTTGTTCATTTTATGAATATTTCATCTTTGAGAAAATCTAAACGTGATATTATTCAACCACTTTCTGACTGTCCTGCCTCTCGTTTCTCTATATTCTGTATTTCTACACAAACGAATCTCATTTAGTATGCTAAATTTATTTCAGTAAGAGCAAAGTGAAAGTCTCAATGTTTACAATGTAAATGAATGTGTGTATGTTGAGATAATTTTCTAAATAAGTTTGTTAAATCGAAGGGAACGACATGTTGATTGATGAAGTTATTCCGTGAGTTGATTTTGGTGAATATAACAAATTTAAGAGGTTCAGATCCAATGTTCAGGATATCTTTATTTAACTACTAACTAAAAGTTCAGTGGTTATCTGTCTTTAATTCCACAGAATTTCTGATACAATGGAATCAACCTCATATGTGACTAATTGGTTATTAGCATCTGCTTCACATCATTCCCTGAATATTTTAATGATGTAAATCAGTGATAAATGCTCTTGTCAAATTAATCAGGTTCGCTAATCCATCAACATGATTATTCATCAAATCTTATTGGTTGACTTGTCAACACTTGCAAAGGTTTAGGCAATTGCATACACATCTCCAAATGATGTAATCATCTATTATCAGCTTGATCTATGGTTCCTTATATAGTACTATTATTAATTTTTATTATTTGTCCCTTGGGTTCCTAATAGAACATAGCACGTCTCTATTCCACTCTGTTCTTTGCAATCTTTTAAACCTGGTTCCACGACAGCCCACAAGCTCTCATTTCCTCCTTACACGATCGCCTCCATATCACCCTCACCTCGGACGCCTAACTTGTCGCTTCCCATCAGGGTTCCACTCGAGGGCCTGACGTGTGATGTTCCCAGTCGGCCTTCTCAGTGTATGCCCAATCCATCTCCACTTTCTTCCTTTGCATGTTTGTTGAGCGATAGGTTCTTGTTTGGTTCGTTCCCAGAGTTACTTGTTGCTCATTCTTTCTGGCCATCTGATCTTCAGTAACGAGCCAACATAGGCAGTTGTTGATGAATATCTATAGTTTGTTGCAAATGCTTTTCGTAACGCACCAAGTCTCTCAACCATCACATACAAGCACTAACTTACTTGACTTGATTGGTGTTGAAAATGCGGATGTTGTTCAAGCTTTATGCTGAGTGCAGTGCAGAACATCTCCACACTGGTTACACGCTAGTGAACGCTTCTCTTGCTTCTTCGATCGTCGCTGGCTTTGACGTCCTCGTCTGTGCCATCTGTGGTTGAAACAGTGCTGCCTAGATAAGTGAAGGAGTCTACTTCCCTTGAGTTTCTCCTGTTTATGGTGTTTGAAGTTTGTTGTTGTTGGTAGTGTTGTTGGTTGAATATCTTCATCACCTCTGTCTTCTCTATATTCACTTGAAATCCCGTCTTGGCTGCCCTGCCTCTTCTGTCAACTTGTTAGTTTTCGCCTGTAGATCTTCAAGTTTGTGTGACATTAGACACAAGTCATCGGCGAAATTTAAGTCTTCTATGATCTTTTCCCCGGTCCAGTGTATACTTCTCTTCTCGCTCCTCACTGTTTATTGCATGATCCAGTCCACTACAATCAGGAATATCATGGGTGACTGTAGGCAACCTTGTTTCACTCCTATCTTCATTTCAAAACCGTCACTGAGCTTCCCATTGTGGATTACTTGGCATATGGCGTCTTCATACAGTTCTTGAATGAGGTTGATAAAGATTTGTGGAACTAAAAGGTCAGTGTTGAAGCAGCTGACGACTAAATTACTTCTCGTTTGACGCTGTCAAAACAAAGCCTTTTCAGTGCCGATATAGTTGAGGTAGAGTTGAGTTGACTAGCATTCTATGCTCTGTTCTATGATGATGTGTAGCGTAGTGTAGCAATTTGTTCCGTACATGATTTGTACTTCCTGAATCCAGTCAGCCTGTTCTTGTCTTAGTTTTGAATCTAGTGTATCCTTTAGTCTCTCCAAGATGATGCGGCTTTTATAGTACTAATTACTCCTATTTCTGTGAACCCATACAAATTTCCTTTTGATGTGAAAAGTCTTAGCATTATTACATCATTCAGATTACTATTAAGCACATGATGGTCGGTATCAACTGTTGAAATACTACATGAGTAAGTGTCAGCAAATGATCAAGTCAACTTATTTCAGTCTTTTCACATGACAACCCTTCTAAAAAGTATCTCGATTATATATATATTGTTATCTTAGGTGTTGAGCAAAATGAGTTTAAAACTTCAGAATGGAAGAGTTTTTTCTGGGTGATGACTTGCGTTTTCTATCCCCACAACAAGTGAATGTTGAATAAAGATGAAACAGAAAAGTAGGAGTACACTCTAAGCTTGAGGCTTAAATATATTTTGAGGAACGTCATATGATTGAAACAGAGGTATGACATAGTGCTGGCAACATAAATGGTATTATTGAATACATGGATGAATGTTTATGATGATATAATTGTACGAATACGCTTTCTTCCGCACATCACATCTCGATAAAACAACCGACACACAGGAATGTAAACATGTGGTGGGTTATTTTCATTAAGAAGCGTTTGCTATGATAAGTTTACTTCTTTACTTAGAATTAGTTACTGTGTAAGCTTTCACCTTACTGATTTCCACCTTAATTTAATTACAGTAAATCTCCAAAACCAGTTGCTTAAACATAAAATACATTTGTCAATATCATTGAAGTTAGTAGGTAAGGCTATGAGTATTTTGGTATGCTTACATATAGGTTCGAATATTATGTAAAATTTCTCAGACATTAGTTCAAGAATTTCTGTCGAACTTTAGGACTAATGACCCATCCATCCAGATCAACCTAGGACCAGGCATTACTGCGTAACCGTCCCAAGTGACACACCTCTTATCAGTACATCAAGTAAAAAGGCAGTGAGGTGCAAGATGAAGATAAGAAAATTCAGTCAAAAGAAATATAAAGTACGAAAAGAGAGAAACGAAGAATGACAAAATAGTGAGATTCGGTGTAGTGTCGTTAAGATGAGGATAATGTGTGTGGAGATACATCTGCGCCTCTGACATTGGTTCTGAGCCATGTGATCACCTAGAGTCTCCAGCCACTGGTTTTTTTTGTCCTGCGGACCTCAACCGACTAGTCTGCATCGCCCCACATGACTCAAACCAACAGTCAAAGAGTTCATACACCGATGCCGTGTTTTAGTCTGGCCACCTCGGGCCTTATTCCAGACTGGACCTACTTCGGCCAACGTTGTGTGACGAGACTATCGGTGACTAAGCATACGTAACACATGTCCCAACCATCTCAATCGATGAAGGTTCACAACCTCGTCAACCGACTTACCTCTTCTCCCTAAAACTCTACTCCTGACTAATGATCAGAAACGTTTTGCCTTAATTTATGGCATATTGATTTTATTCAGGAAGAAATATGCTCAGCTCTACGCTAACTTTATGGTATAGAAGTTTGTTTAAAGTTTCAGTGATATGTACCTGAAAACCTTTAGGGTAATTATAGATATTAGCCTGCTTATGTCATATATGTTAGGGCTAGATCTTATGAATAAATGTATGACCATTAGACAAACAGCTTTTAGGCATCAGGTTGAATATATTTCCCAAGTTTTAATCTTTTATGGCCGTGACGAATTAACTGTTTACTAGTGGAAATAACGCTACGATTCACTTTAGCCATAATCATCTAGAGTCCATAGCAAGTAAGTATCTCTTCTAGTTTGTAGGTAAATACAGAATATTCTCCGTAGTTGTTGCCTGCTTTTGGGTTACACCACCAGGAAGGCAAAGTTTATGTTTTAGTCGTCTGCTGTAACCTCATCACACATTTCCATGATTTCACTTGACGACTAAAATGTTGACACTGAAGTCGAGCAAACAATATTGTCAACAGAGATCCAAGTCATCGTACTTTATGTCATTACGGGGTGTTTTCAGTACATTTTATGATGAACAGTGACAAAATAATATCTATTAGGCTATAAATGTCTTTTATCGAAAATTGGCAATTGAGATACAATGCTCAACATTACCTGCATATGTTTCGGGATTATATGGTGCCACTTACTTTCCTATATCCATTAAGTATAATTAAAAACTTGGCTTTAAGTTTCTCGTCACATTCAAGACAATGTGAGATGATAGAGGTTGTTAACAAAAGAGGGTTCATTAGAACTGAATACTTCAAACAATATGGCCGAGATAGAAGTGCATTCACAAAGTTTCGTTGTTGCATATTTACCGAACCTACCTATTCATGATAGGCATATTGAATTCCTATAATAATTGAATATAAGTTGATTACAAGATGAAGTAATGACTAAAGTAGAAAGGGTCTGGAGAAACGATTTACTGATATAACAGACGGAAGAATTTATATACCACAGACTACAGACTACGTGGTGAAGTGATGTAATCAATTTTTTTTTTCAGTTGCTTAGTTAGTTCGGTCGAAA